CTGATCTAAATGACTAAATTACCTCTTCAACATGTCTTGAAGTTCTCCAGAAGCCTGGTAATGAACTGATCATTTGATTCAGGTGTGTTGACCCAGGGTGAGATCTAAAACCTGCAGGACACCGGCCCTCGAGGCCTGGAGTTCGACACCCTTGGCTAACGACTTCAAATACTGACGTTTGTTTCCTGCAGGTGTTGCAGCTCTGAGCGCTCAGTTTGCCAAACTGCCCATGGGTCTGAAGCACGTGAACCTCTCCAGGACGTCCATGTCTCCTAAAGGTGAACAAACACGGGGACACTGAGAAGACGTCCTATTTTGTGAATTCTTACTTTTTTTTAAAAGTGTGCGTTTTTGTCGTCATTTTCAGGCGTAAACAGCCTCTGTCAGGCTCTCTGCGCCAACCCGATTGTGGCCTCCACCCTCACACACCTCGATCTGTCGGGAAACTCCCTCCGAGGGGACGACCTCCCGGTATGCAGTCGCCCCCTCGCCACCGTATCTCGTATCAAACGCCAGGCTGGGCAACACTCGAGCTACAGTCACGGTTTGTGTGTCTTTTTTCTTCACAGAACCTTCACAGCTTCCTGAGTCACTCAAACGTCCTGGAAACCCTCGATCTGTCCAATAGCGACTGCTGTCTGGAGCAGGTCGGAACAACTTTAAAGCTAAAAAGTCGAGCTCTGTGGTTCCATCGCGTTTATTCTGTCTTTCTTCATCGTTTGTTATCATGTTTAGGTGTGTTCGTCCCTGCTCAGAGGATCTGTGAAGCACCTTTCTGTCCTCAACATGTCAAAAACAGTCTTTTCTCACAGGTCAGAGGTTAATAATGATGCAAATGATGCCTTCGTTTCTCTTTTGATTTCTTCTTCAGCAAATCTTATCCAACAGTTGTTTTGTCACGTGACATTTATCGATGTGTTGATGCACGTGTCCTCACAGGAAGTGTAAAGACATCCCTCCGTCCTTTAAGCAGTTCTTCAGCTCTGCTCAGGCTCTGACGTCCGTCAGTCTGTCAGGAACCAGGCTGCCTCTGGAGGCTCTGAAGTAAGACTGTGATTTAAACAACACATTCTGTACACGTTTCACATGAAAGGAAATTCGTCTCTGAAGCGGTTTGACGCTGAAGTAAGCGCTTCAGTCGCTTTGGTCGTGTTTGAGCGTATCAGGTCCCCTGTTAGTGTTTTCAATATCACATTTAGCTGATTTCTGGAAACCTCAGAGATGTGTTGCTGTTCACACCAAGGTTATTATTGTTAACGAAAACTAACAAAATAACGAAAACTAGAAGTGAAAAAACATTTTCGTTAACGGAAATAAAAATAAAAACAAAAAAAGGAAAACTAACTAAAACTATAATGAGTGTTCACAAAACTAACTAAAATTAACTGAATTTATAGCAAAAATGTGTTTAGTTTTCATTGAT